TCAGTGAATCGTTTTTTTCTTTTCTTTTTTCTGTTCCCTCTGTTTTTGGACCAAAAATCTGAAATTAAATTATGAACATTGTACCATGAGATCGGTTGTGAAGTAGCAAAGCATGGGTGCAGACTAATATATCAAATTATTTTCGAGTAAGGCAACTACAATTACAAATCTGATAAAAAAAACGGAAGTAAAACAAAGTCTATAGTATCAATGTCTTGAACTGACATAAACAATAACATTCATAAATTCTACGTCTTGGGAAAAGAAAAAAAAATGGGTGAGAAGTGAAATAGGACTAGACGAACAATTGGGGCAATTAGCGCATGCACTACTGTGCTGTAAGTACAAAGACACGAGCAGAAAAGAGCTTGCCGTGTAAGCTACGAGGCAGTGCTCCAGATTTAGAAAGTTGGCCCGACTGCATGTGCATGTGTAGTGTACTTAATTTGTGCTCCATTTATAGCCACATTGACTTTGGGTGAATGTATCCCAAGTATCACAAGTTCTATGATAGTAAGAAATGAGTGTATTTTGTTTACAAATTATTTCACACTCATATTTAATCAATAATCAGAATCTAATCTAACTTTAATTCAACCATATTATCATCAATATTATTAATATAATTAAATAATAAGTATCAACCAATCATCCTTACATATCACATCAACTTTAATTCACTATTCATCCACTCACATAATTTTGATTACATATCACTTCTTACTACTTTTACCTCAAATAAGCTTTAATCATTTTCATTTTAAATACATATTATTTTAGTACAAATTTAAAATTCAACTAACAATTAACCATACAATTTTTTTTCAAAAATAACTAACGTTAACAAAAAAAACCCCAGTAAAAAAGTAAAAACTGATATATTAGTAAACAAAGACGCCATACAATTACATTGTGATTTACTTTTTATTTTTTATTTTTTATTTTTTTACTTTTAGCCACGTTACATATACTTGTGTATACATTTTTCTATGTTTTACCTAAAAAAATGTTGTTCGACGTTGTCTAATTGTTAGAAAACCACAGTTTTATGTATTTGGTAGTTTTTCTATCAGGTTGTTTAATAGTTAGACATATTACATACAAATATTTGTCTTTTTTTTTTTTTAGATTTNTATTTTGTTGTCCAGATTTGTAAATATTTATAGGTAATATTTCGCTATTTACAAACAAAATTTTTCTGTTGGTAGTATTTTTGTAGCTATTTTGATATTTTCTTGTAGTGGCAGTACTCTTTCAATATATGTACCTACTTTTACAGTCAAATATTATACTACTAAAATTCAATATAAACAAAGTACACTACAAGAAAATAATGAAATTCCAACAGAAATATATTCCAATAGAATTCCAACGGCAATTCCAATGGATATTTCAATACTATTATTTCCGTTGGAATGAGTTTTTCATTAGAATTTCCATTGGATTTTTATAATTCCAACGGTAGATTTTCCAACGATAGTGGAAATAAAAATTCCAACGGAAATTCCTACAATCAACAGCCATTGGAAATATAGTTGTTGGAATAATCAAATTCCATCTAAAATTCCAATGAAAAATACATTCCAACGGAATATTTTCGTTGGAATTTCTATTGAAATGATTCCAACGGAAGCTATACCATTGAAATATCCGTTGGAATTTCCATTGGAATATATTACTATAGGATTTTCCGTTGGAATATAACATTTTTTTTGTAGTGATATGACATTATAACCATGCAGAAAATATGATTGTCTAACATTTAGACAGACTACTAGCTTGACTACTAGCTTGTAGCATTTTGGGTTACAAATTTTCAAACTCAAATTCCGTACCTTAAAAAACATTATAAATAACATTGTCACATTTCTTAATATAAGTACGAATGTCTTACAATTAGTCAACGTAATTAGCAAATTTGATTGTGTAAAGAACTAAAAATACATGTGATGATCGACTTTGCTTGCTTTCAACTTATAAAAGCACAAATTATACCGACTTAACTAATATATGTATTTAATGATTATATAAAACTATTTTTTTGAAGATAGAAAAAATCAGGTTTTTTTACTTAAAAAAAATAAGAAAAAATAAAGTGGACAAGAACAAAACAAAAAAAAAAAGTTGTGGAAATAAATAAAAAGCACGTATTCTGAGAATACGTTTTTTTTGTAATTTTCATTATTGAAACACGTATTCTGAGAATATGTTTTTCAATGATAATTTGTAAAGAAAACGTATTCTCAGAATACTGATTTTTTATTTTGGTCCATATTTTTTTTTTTGCTTTTATTTATGTCCACTTATGTTTTTTTTTTGTTTTTTTATATAAATTTCCCGAAAAAATCAACCCTACCCGATTTTGGGAGATGATGGCATACTTTTGTACGAAGACAAAGGGAGACAAGTGGTATGGATAAGTTGTGGTCATTAAATTGCTTATAGTAATTTAGTAGATGAAGTTGAGAGTGTAATAAGGGTTGTAGGCCAAGTCTTACTCTATATGCCTCTAGCCTCATAGCCCGTCCAACCTATTTGATTCCTTATGTCTTGAATTTAAGTGACCCATATTTTTAGGAGTTTTAATTTCAGTTGTTTGTCAAGAAAAAATGGGAAAAAAGATAAAGAATACAAATACATGTAATTTCTGCCCAATCTTTATGGGTTGATAATTTATATTCGCACAAGTGTATAAAGTTTGAAAAGAATATTATGATATTTTAGTAGAAGAATTAATTAATAATGTTAATAATATAAAGTGATGTGATACAAATATAAGTAATTAATTGTGATTTGATAAAAAAAAATAAAATAATGATGTGTATATAAATAAGTGAGTGATTGAAGAATAAACTTTATGACACTCTATATGATGGCCCTTTTTTTAAAAAAATGACCAACGGAGTATACTAAAAATAAAATTTATCCCATCATATTTTTGCATAGTTATAAACGAATTTGGATTTGTTAAAAGAAAAATAATGGAGCACTTTTCACCAAAACTTGTACAATAGTAACATAGTTTACTAAAAATGACAATCACTTTTAGTACACTATGTTGGTTTTTGTACGAATTTTGATTAAAGTGGCAATTTAGTTGATCATTTTGTATGACACTCTATATGATGGACATTTTTTGAAAAATAGTCAACATAACGGACTATTTTTAAAATTTTGTCAAATATGATAGACCCATCGGAGTAAATATAAACTTTGTTAAACAACAAAGAAGAAATTATTGTTTTGCTAAGATGAGGAATGCGTGCCAAAACAATTGTAAATGGCAAATGCCAAGTCAGCCTTTATGAGTCATGCTTGTTCATTCTCGTAATTTATCACGTTATCTATAACGCTATCTACACTATATTGTCCAGGTTGAAATTAATAATTAGTTACTCATTAACGTCATAGCATCCTTTCTTCTGCTGCTTAAGTTATGGCCCCCTAAAAATATATCTACAAGAGTAATTAGCCAGGTTTGATTATATTTGGTCTGGCACGTAATTACCTGACGACGTCTGTCGTCCAAAATCTATTGACTTAGGATCCGAAAGATCCAAAATTATTAATTTTTCTATATTTAAAGAGTAACAACAATACTTTTCTTCAAAGGTGATCACATGACTATTTAAAAACTAATAAATAAATAAATAAATAATAACATCCGAATATAAATAATTAAAAAAGATAAAAAATCATTAACTTTATGATGCAAGCTCGTTATTATTTTCTTATGCGATCGAGACAAATTTTTATATTTTTCATCTCCTTTTTATTTAGTTATTTAAATTCAAATATTTATTATTATTATATTTTAATTATTGATGTGACGTATAAGAATATATTGATTTTTATCTCTTTCTTAACTCTTATTTACATTAAGTTGTTTTTATTTCATAACAATTATGTTTGGAGTCTTAAATTAGTGTTTTGAAAATTATGGATGCCTAATCGATAAATTTGGTCTTTCAGACCTAAAATTGATATTTGATCATGTGTTTGGTTCCTTAGTGCTATATCTATTATTATATAATACAGTTAAGAAAAAAGATTTGAAAAACTTTGAAAAAAATAATTCAGTTTCCCGCTTTTTTAATGTCATTTTTTCGCTCATTTTTTCGTTTTTTAGCATTAAATGAATAATTTTTTGAAATTTTTTGGATTGTCCCGCCTTAGCCAATTATTTGAATTTTAAAAAAGTCAATGTGTAAAATATTCTAAGAGAATATATAATGGGATTTAGTTAGTGGAGGATAATTAGGTAAGATATAATTTGAATAAGTCCAATTATTCTCTTTCTTCCTTTTCATACGCAGGTGAAAAAAAATAAAAATCTTGGGCGGAATCCTTCTCTTTTTTTCTCGCTCATATGCAGGTGAAAAAAAATAGAAATCTTGGGTAAAAAATATCGACATTAATCATGGAGAGGGTGTTTGTCTGTGGCTGGTGATGAACTCTCGGGCTTCGCTGGGGCCTGCCATCGCGAGGAAGATGACCGAACATCTCGAGGGCTTTCTAGCGAGAAGCTATTGGTCGCGTTGGATGCACGATGGCCTGATTTTTTTTTTTAGTCGTGTCTGGCCGGTCTTGGTGGTTGCGTGCGGCTGTGAAAACATGAGTCATTTATGGCCGCACGTGGGACGGGCAGCGGCTATACGAGGTCGTTTGTTAATTGAGCAGAGAAAAAGATCGAGTGGGGCTGGGGACGGACCAGATCTCGCGAGGATGACGATCAACCGGAGATTATCTGACTGTTGTGAAACTCAGACGATGGGTGTTGGCCGGAGATGGCAGGGCTGATGTTTCCAGTATGATGACCGGCGATGGGGCTGCTGTTCCAAGGACGGGCTGAAGGTCGATGATGGCCACAAGACGCCAAGGCTGATCGCACTCCTTCCCGGAGAAGACGACTGGAGATTCTGAGCACCGGTGAAATGGACGAACGCGAGAAAATATTTGTCCTGACGAGTTCAGTTTTTTCGGCAGAAATTATAGAAGTCAATAGTTTTTTTTTTTTTTTCTAACGCGTTTTGTTAGAGAAATCTGGGCACTTGTGGAGTCCATAACAGATATGGAATTAAACAGTTCTTCAGTTAAAGTTGTTTATTTATTTTTATATTTATTGACATTATTATTTAATATGCCTCATATTTTTTATGGAATGTTGCTTATTAATTATGTAATGTGTAGTTTAATTAATTTATTATTATTGGTAGCATAGATAATTAAATACGGTAAATATTTAAAAAATTATGACGCCATAATATGTTTTGGATTTATTCCAAATCATGACTCCACAATGAATATAAATTGCTGAAGATAATCTATCCGTAAAAAAAGGAAATGAATTTTTGTTGGAGATTATCTATCCGTTAAAAAAGGAAATGAATTTGTAATTTAGTTTGTCAAATTAGATTTTTGAGTTAATCCTTCTATAACACGTTTGTACGGACGGAATGCGGTAGATACAACCTCAAATGATTTAAATGAATGATCTTTTTTTATCTAATAATACTTCATCAACACAAACATTAACCGATAAAATAATAATTGGCCACATATTATTACTTAGGTAGATACAACCTCAAATGAGTTAAATCATACAGTACCTAAGTCCACTTTAATGTATAAATCATTAGAATAATAAAAAATAAAAATTTTATACATAACAAATAAATGTTTATCATATCTTTTATTTTAAAAATAAATTTGAATTATTATACTTTTACTTTATATAAAATTAAAAATTACATATTTTAATATATTAATAAATATGTATTATTTATTTTTTCTTTATGTGATATACTCGACATTCGGTATTAAAATTTTAAATTCAAACATTTAAAGAAAAAGATCCTAAACAAAGTTTTTTGGGTAAATTTTATTTTATTTTAATTCTCATATAATCACATTCCTAACAAACTAATTAATATTATATTTTTTTATCTACATTATCTAACCGATTTTTTAAAGATACAATTAATATAATATCTTATCTAATTAATCATTTATCTAACCAGATTTATCTCTCTAACAAACTTGCCAATTTTTTTGATATTAAAATGGCATGATTATTTTTATGGAGATAATTGACTTTTGGAAAAAATAAAATCAAAATTGTAAGGTTTAATAATAATTTTTTAAAAAAAATATTGTATAAAGAGAAGTGTTTAATAATATATATTTTTAATTGTTTGTATTTATTTTATTTTCATAATAGACGAGATGTGAAAAATAAAAATAACTATATTTAAAATAAAGCCTAAAAAAAATTTAAAATATGAGCTCTTCCGTGCATCGCACGGGATATACACTAGTTTTATTTTACAAGGCTAAATTAATAGTCAATCCATATCTTTGTGACCGAACATATAAAACTCTTATATTTTACCATGTACATAATTAAATATAACTTTTTGGACAATTTTGCAAAATATTCGTATGAATTTTAAATGTTGAGTTATGCCACATGGGATAAATAGTACGCCCATAGATGCAAAAAGTTTTATTTTCACCATTGGCAGNTAAAAAAAAAATCATTTCATCTTTCCCACTCCAATCTTACAAGTTCAATATTTGTAAACATAACTTGCGCAAATATCACTGTTCATTCACCACATGTTTATAACTATTAAGTAATTGTATAAGTTTAAACAAAAACTACAAAACATATTATCCATCTCTACGTTCGTGTTCATATTTCACATTTGTATCCATCAGCTTTTACAAATACATACATTTTCATCATACATATATACATGTTCACATTTTCAGAAAAAAATCATTTTTGCCTCCAATTATTCATTATTTTCTAGAAGCAAGATTTGAAAATAAAATCAAAGTATATCTGAAGTTAATTAGTTTTGTCTTGGTACAATAAATTATACCTTTGACTGAGAACTGCAATCAACCATATATATACTTGTACATGTACAGTTTGCAATATATACAAAATTACACTGATGAGCTGACACATGGAGAGATAGTGACATTAATCCAAAATCAAAGATTGGTGAGAGAGAGAAAAGTTTTGGGTATTAATAAATTGACAATCAATTTTGGATCGAATGGCCGGTTTGAAGTTAACTAAAGGATTATCCCATAAACTAATTAAGGAGGTAAATTTACTTGCTTAAAACTAAAAATTTTGCAAATTGAAGAAAAATATCAAACTCAAATACAAATATACAATTCAAAGCCTCCTTTTCATGTTATGGTGTCATCACATGAATAATAATTTATATATAAAATTTTGCTAATGTGACGGCATATTAACATATTATATACACGTGTACAGAAAAATCATGATTTTCTAATATATAGTTAGTGGATATATCTTAAAGTACTTACAATGGGTAGGTGAACGTACATTTACTTCTTTATAATTAGTGTAAATAATTATTTGAGAAATGTGAATATTTATTCGAAAAGTATGACCATCATACGAAAAATTTTCTGTGTTGTGGCACTGCGACTACTTTTTCCGGTTCATGTGTATCATTAGTTTCACAAGCATTGTTTTTGGATCTGGAGAAAACATGTATCGTGTATGCACTCATGTTAGCTCCTCTTAAATGTGTAGGACCAAATGGCCCTCCTAAATTTATTAGTTCTTGGTATTAACTATTAAGATAATGCTGTAATAATTCATGGTGTCCCTTTATGTCCAATTAGCATGTGCTATTTGCCTCTATTGTGTTTGTGCTATATGTATATGCTTAACAACACCGTTGATATAAGATTTTATGCTCTATCGTGTTTGTATTACATATGCCATATAAGAAATTATTGAAATTTCAACGAAAAACAAATGGATATGTCATAAATTTGTAATAAAAATGCATATTTATATATTGTAAAAGTCATATTTTTATTTATGTTTACTCTTATATAGTATGACATTTCTATTTATAAATGTAGGTGAATCTGTTGAAAATTATTATTATTTAATCGTCAGTTCTAAACAGTAGCCTTGCTAAAAGAATAGATATATCACAACTTTGTGGTTGGATATTTCCCCAAAATAAAATGATGCTTTGCCCTTATTATTTCGTTAAAAGAATTGGGCTGATTTGGTAATATATAGTTTTCTAGTTGGACTATGTGATGCTGCACATTTGGGCTCTATAGTTACAAAATTGACCCTGTATAAATTAATTTGAGGAAATTAATTTGTATATAAACTATATATATACTTTTATGATTTTTTGCATTGATTTGTTGTGTATATGTATGGTTTATCTTTTAGTAAAATTGTTTACAAAGTATAAAAGTAAAATAAACAATACGCAAACCCAAAATATACTACAAAATATTCAAAAACTGATTTAAAATAAGAATAAACTGAATTTTTTTAGTTGTGTACATGTATAGTTTATATACATAATACATTCGTTATATAATGAATGGAAATCATCATAGGCGACTCCATCCACAAAAATATCAAAAATATATACTTTTAATATAAAAAAAAAATATTGATACATAACAAAAGGAGTGTGGAAAGTTGCTTTCAATTTGGTGATAAACCAGAAATATTGTTTTGTTGGAAATTCCGTAACTGACGGAATTCAATGTGGGAGCGTTTTTATTTGGTGAGGTTTTTGATATTGGATGTGATACTAATTAAAATGCTAAAGATTCGTATATATCCTAATATAATTGCAACTCGTATATTCACAATAAAATAGCAAAAAGTTGCGTTAAATGACCCAATTAATTTTTATTAGTTTACCCCACCATTTTCTCAACCCAAATTTCTTCTTCGTAAGACCCATCCTGAAAACCAACAAAAGTTCAATTTGGGGGTTTAGGGTTCATATAATTGAAACAATTTATTGACAAAAAAGGGTTTGAGGATAGATGAGACGGGTGGAGATACGAGATGAAGTTCGACGGTTTAATTTTGATAATGCCATTAACCTAGACCGAGTTAGTTCCGACCGGGTCAATTTCCAACAGGGTCTCAAAATATTAAGGACCACATTGTTCAGACCATTTGGAATTGACTTGGCTTTCTGGAACAAAACAAGTCAACGTTTGGAGTCTCACGTTTTTTTTTTCTTTATTCTTTCTCATTATTATTATTATTATTATTATTATTATTATTATTATAGTTATAGTCGCAGCTTTCGTAGTTCACTGTTGCTTACACATGTCAAGTTTAATGGGTTCAACTTGTCAAACTACATCTCTATCAATGGCTTGGCCCAAAAAATTGTTCTAATCTTGAATTGTATAGTCAAGTTAATAGTATCAAAAATTAAATAAAAAAGATTATTTTAAATATTTGATTTTTTTAATTATAATTTGTACCTATTAATTTATTTAAGATGCACTCGTTAAACAATATATTATGTATAGAAAAAAGTTCTTAAAGACTAGCATAAAATTTGTTATTTCAAAATTTTGCTTTTAATTTTATTTAAAAGCATGGAGAACCAACAATCTATGATGGTACATCATACATGTCTTAAACCTATCAACATATTTTATATGTATATTCAACTGTGATGATAGAAAGTTTACAAAAACCTATCAACATATTATATATTTAAATATTTGTATACTCAACTTTGATGATAGAAAGTTTACAAATCCATGCTCAAGTCCTAACATATGTACAGAACAATACAACAGCTGGTTCAGACATTTCCAATGCAAAGCTTACTGTAAGAACTGTGAGGAAGTCTCATCTCTACCACTTTTTCTAAGACTAAATTGTAAAGTAAAAAAAAAAAACAAAAAGGGAAAAAAATGAAAAAATTACTAAACCTCGCACTTAAACAATATCCACAGAGGCAACCGATTTCACTGATACAGATCTCGTCGAGCCTTCTTTAGCAGCCGATGAAGAAGAATTCACTGATCTTTGTGATCCTTCTTTTGTTGCCGAATAATTGATGGATCTCGACGAACAATCTTTTCCCTTAGAATAAGCTATCAAGTCCTTTACGACTTGCCGGTAACGCCTTCTATGAGTCGGAAACTTTGATACGCTTCTATTCATCCCCATCATCCTGAAACATAAATCGATATAAATAACAAAATACAATAATTACAATAAATAAAAATCTTAATTCCATCCCAACCTAGTCGAAAATACTTTCGTAAGCACAAAACGAAAACATTTTCGTTTTTTTTTTTTCACACATGTTCTCACCTTCGACTAATCCCCTCAATCTGAGCTGCCCTGAGAGCATCCTCGATTGCAAAATCCCCATTTTCCCAAGCTTTCGCACTTTCCTTATCATTCCCAAAGAGCAAAACTTTCTGAAGGTACCGAATTTCACCTTCCTCTAACCGTAGAGCCCTAACCTGTTCCTTTAGAACCAAAACCGGGTTAAAGAACCAGTCCATGAGCCTGTCCTGAGGCCGGTTCAAGTGGTTCACCTCTGTCCCGTCCAGCAGGACTAAGCCAGTGGACCCCACTTTGATTGAATCGAGAAGCGTGTGCAGAAAAGAGTAGCAAGGAAGTCCCACATCGATAATGTGAGGGCCACTCGAGTGCTTTGCTTTCAGCCAATCACAGAGGTCGGCGTGCGAAATTACGTTCTTGTCCAGCAGCTCTTTTCCCCTTACTTCGCATGCCTTCATCATGCTTCCCCATATCTGCAGTGTTTTCGGAATTGTGGATATTAATAAATTATTCTTTGCAGCAAAATATTTCTTCTTAATCTACGTAAAAAAATGCATCACAAGCCTAACTTAGTGAGAATGGAGTGATTAGTTTTGGCAAATAGCTCTGTTTCTTGTAATTAAGCAAAAATATAACATATGTAAAGATAAATATTCAATATGATGATATATATATATTATGGTATATGAAAGGTATATGTACCTGCACCATTTTCACCTCCTTCATAACCTCTCTGACGGACCTCGATGCAGTTAGGCGAGGAACAATCATTCCAGGACTTTCTGTAGCGGCATAGCCTAATCTCTCGTGTATGGATTGGTTTCGAGGGACAGTAAGTTCGGACGAGTTGGACGGTTTTCTTTTCCTATAACGTGGCCTGAACCGTAAAATGACTTCATTAGTGTGATGGAAGATGTAAAGTGAAAAAAAAAATAAAAGAATAAAAGAATTACTATGAAAAGAAAATTTGAGAAAACAAAAAAACAAAACGTCTACTTACTTTGGTAGGATCGAGCCCTCACGAAGATAAAGCCAATCGTTTGTGTACTCGTCAAATTCTGCAACCATTGCAATCACATAGGCTACACCTCGCCTGAAGGACCTTTCCTGCATCGAAATAAAGACGGGGCATATTGAGGTAAAATGTATAGACAGAGAAATGTTTTTGAATCCATTTGTATTTATCTTTGAACAAGTTTTAAGAAATGAATTGGTCACAAGAAATAAAGCAAATGGCTCAATGGACAAACTGAAAATCAGAAATAGCGAAAAAAGAAAATGTACGGAAGCTATAGGTGAAATATGTTTTTTCGTAGACTAATGGCAAAAGAAAAAAAAATCCATCGACAAGAGTATGGTTTTGTTTGTGACCTGATATACTACTATAGATCCATATAATCCGATGAAAAAGCTCGTAAATATAGCCATCAAAATGCTTCCAATAACGATGAGCGGCCACATAAGGATCGTCAAACCAGCAATGGGAATGCAGGCAGTTTCCAAAAATGGGCCCTCACGGCTTATCAGATCGTGCAGAAGCCTATGCCAGCCTTTGAACAACATGTATGGACTTTTTACAATGGCAATAGCCGTGTAAAGTGGGATCTCAACAATCAGGCCTAGTAGGCCAACAATAATGCATGCGGGCACGTGAATAAATCTGGCAAACAGTTCCCATTAAATTGCGTTATTGACAAGGGCTAAAAGGATTTCAATTTCCAAGAAAATGAAATTAAAATCATAATATTTTGATCTTGTAGTAATTCTTAGCCTAAACAGTGCATACCTAAGAGGTTGAAGCTCATTAGAGGCAGTGTTTTCGCGCAGCTCTTTTAAATAGAGTGGATAAGAATGATAGCAAAAGTCGGCAAAATCACGAACCACGGTACAACTACCCTTAATAGTGCCCCATGTACCATCCTATAATATTCACATGCCACGATAAAAGAAAAAAATGAGCGAAATTGTATATCACAACACACTTAGAGACAAAATTCCGAATTCATTATATAAATACAAATATTGCTTCATTATGTATTATTGTTGAACCAATTGCAGGGACATTTGCATTTATAGAATGAATATAGAGAAAGACTATATTACCACAATGCAATGGCAGAATTTCTCCAATGCATCCTCAAGTCTGAAGGCTTCGAAAGATGAAACCCAAGGAGTGAAAAAACCATATCCAAGACCCACGAGACAACTACCCGCGATACTAAGAGCTAACCAAAGGCCAAATAAAGCAGGCAAGCCAAACAAGATTGCAACTTTAAGGGGTGCATCAAACTTATTTGTTCTGTTAAAAAAACAAAAAACTCGTTCAAGGCACATCAGATCAGACCCATGTTCAAAGAATAGAAAACAATCAAATAATTGCAAAAATTAAACCGACCAGCTGTTAGTGAATCAGTATAGCTCAATTCTTGAAATACGAACTCAAAAGGTAAAAATTACTTGAGAAGGGTATAGACTGTCCATGCAACATGTGCAGGAAAGAGCCCCAAAATCACCGCTAAATTCCCTAAAATCAGAATCAAAGCAGCAATCGGACCAACAATCAAACCTGCAACGTTAAAGGCAAGAGAATCAAACAACAAAAAGATAAAAGAAAATCAGTACAAGACAGCTAAACACAGATATAATTCTTTTATATGCAAGAGAAGGCTCAAAGTACCTACTTTTAAGGGCACCAAAACAGAGCACAGCACAAAATGCAAAAACCACAGAGAGGGTTTTGACCCAATCCTTGAAGCTATTACTGGGCATGTTTGGATTTTCAAGAAACTCAGAAAATTGGGAGCAAGAAAATATTTTTCAACAGATGATGATATCAAAGAAGAAAAGAAAAAACCCAGTAACTTTGAAACGATGAAATCCCAAATAAGTCAGGAGAAGATGAGAAAAACGACGCGTCAGAAGTTTCCATTGAAAAGACAGCAAAGAAGGACCCCAACTGCAAATAAACAAACAAATACGCCACCAAAAGAGAAATATTCAAACGGTTTTTTGGCGCTGGCGTTATGTTTTTCAATTCAACCATGAACGATTGAACGTGAATACGATGACTATTCAATGTTCTATCAATATTTTTTTTGGAATGAGCTGACTTTTCTTCTGTTCTAAACTGAAGAT